ATTTTGGTACCGAAAATGAAAGTTTAAGGATAATTTTGGTACTTTTTAAAGCTGAGGGACAATTTTGGTACCAAAGTGAAAAGTTGAGGGACCAAAATGGTACTTAAACCATTTAAAGGAGATGGAAGGAAATTACAGAGATGAGTATGCTATGATTAATGCGTTTGGGATGTACTTGAAAGAAGTAAACCCTGGGAACTTAGTTTTTATTACAACTGATGAGAATTCTGCTAGTGAAAAAGTGTTTAGCAGGATGTATGTGTGTTTGAAAGCAGTTAGTGATGGTTGGAAAAAAGGATGCAGACCAATCTTTGGGGTTGATAGTTGTTTTCTTAAAGGAATATGCAAGGGCATACTGTTATCTGCTGTTGGTAGAGATGGAAATAACCAAATGTACCCAATTACATGGGCTGTCGTTGAGTCAGAAAACAATGATTCTTGGCAATGGTTCATGGAAAAGCTTGCAAATGATTTGGAGTTGGGTGATGGACATGGTTACACCGTGATTTCTGATAGACATCCAGTAAGTATTTATCACAATTATTATTAACTTTTTATGATTAGGGACAATATGTGTTTATTATAATAATTAATTACATATTTAATTGTGCAGGGCATTATTAATGCAAAGACAGAGGTATTACCATTGATTTGGCATAAATATTGTGCAAGGCACCTCTACTGCAATCTTGCAAGGCGAAATAGAGCTGATGACATCAAGCTTGCATTTTGGTTGGCATGTAGGGCAACCAATGAGTTCGACTATCTGGACAAAATGGATGCTTTAAGGGCGTTGTCTGAGGAGGCTTATGCTGAACTGAATGAACTACCTGGTAATTTTTGGTGCAAGGCCTTTTTTAATGAGTATTGTAAGTCTGATGTGGTCGATAATAATATGTGTGAGCCTTTTAATGCATGGATTTTGGGTGCAAGATGCAAGGCCATTATTTCACTGTTTAGGACTTTAATTGACTAGCTCATGGAGAGATTTAAAGACAAAAAGCTATTTGTTGATACATGGGCAACTAATATTGCACCAAGAGTTCTGAAGAAGATCAATGATAATAATAACCTGTCAATGAAATGCAATGTGAGGTGGAATGGTGACAATGACTTTGCTGTGTTTGATGGGCATACACAGCATACACATGTGGTCAATGTCCATGAAAGAAATTGCTCATGTAGAGAATGGAACCTCACTGGAATTCCTTGCTCACACGCTCTTTGTGCATTAAGATTCAAAGATTGGAGTTTTGAGTACTTTGTTGATGAGTACTACAAAAAGGAAAAGTACCTTCAAACTTATGGGACAGCACTAGAATGCCTCAGAGGGAACGAAGTGTTGAGGAGGAGGCTAGAAAGAGGATGTTTGCCACTGGAGATGAGATCAATGCTAGGGCGCCCTAGAAGGAATAGAAGAAGGGCAAAGGATGAGCCTTTGAAACTGAAGAAAGGGAAATTGACCAAGTTATCAAAGCATGGATCTGTGTACACTTATAGTGTGTGTGGTGAACAAGGGCACAACAAAGCTGGATGTCCACAGAAAGACAAACAAGCAGGCCCTAGTCAAACCAAGGTAACTTTGCTATTGCACTTTATTTGTACAACTTTATTTGTGCAATGTTACACTTTATTTGACATGTTAACTTTATTGAATGGCAGGTCAAGAAAACAGGTAAAAAAAGTTCAAATCCCACACAAAAACCAAAAGTAGCAAAAAAGAGCACAAAGGTTAGTAAAAAAGGTGATACTATCTATCTGGGAGGGGTCGAAGGAAGAACAAGAAAAGCAAAACGAAAGCTTAATGATAGTGTAAGAAAAAATAACAATATTTACTGTGTACAATTCCTTTTTTTTTTTTT